TAAAAGAAATATACGGTTATTATAAAAGATTGTATTGGTGCACTTTGCTTACACATTCATATGTATTAGCGATTTTACGTTTGTTTTAAATAAAATATAATTGACATTACTAAATTCGCCAGTCACGCGTCGTACCGCCTACAGAAATTGTCCTGTGTACAGGTACATAAATAAAAATCAGAGGTGATCCAGTACAGCTAAGGTTACAATCATACAAGGCCAGCTTCTTCCCTGAGGCACTTTTCGTTTCTCACTTAAGAACTATTGTAATGGTAGACATTTTTTTTATCGTGACATACTTATAATGCTAGTATTTTTTTTATTGATTAGGCAGATACAATAATATAACTTTATGAAAAATCTTTCACTAAGAGCAAAAAAAAAATACGATAATACGGCAAGCAGCGAAAGTAACGAGTACCTGATTAAATAAATAAATAAAAGTCGGAAATTTCTTTTTAAAATGTAACATTATTTCAAATATTTTATGAACCTGTTTAGGTTAGGCGTTATCCTAAGGGACGTCAAACTGGGAAAGTTGCCAAACTTGAAATCAAGTTAGGGTCAGGTTGATCAGAACGTTGCAAGGTTAGCATGCATCATTTTATTCATGACTCTCTTTGTTAAAGTATTATTGTATAATTCATAAAAATTTACATTTATACATATTTTTATATTTAAATTACAATATACATGCTATTATCACTGTGATATTATATTGTTGAGACCTTGAATATAACACGTGAAACATTTCATTTGAAATAACGAGAGTCATATTGAAATACAAATTAAAGCTAATTCAGTTGAAAATTTATTGCACATAAGGTGCAATGTTAGACTGATAATATGGTATTTTGAGTTCATTCAAAATTCAGACATGCGAGTATTATCTAATACTTCTTTCCTAATGTTATAAAGTGGTAACGTTTTTAACTTTGTTTGTTTGTAGTAGGTAATCTTCGGAAATACTGATCCGATTATGAAAATTCTTTCACCTACGGGAAACTACATCATGCGCGGGTGACATAGGCTATAATTTACGCTAGGGAAGTCGCGGGAAAATTTATGTTAAAAGCTTCTATTTAATTTGCAATATAAAAGTATATATGTATGGTGGAATTTTTGAACTCAATTTTGAAGTAGATATCCTCAACCGATTTAGCTGAAATTTTGTATACACGTTTAATTTGGATGACAACGCCTGATTAAATGTGTAGTTGTTCTAAATTCAATATGGCGGACCATCTAAGATGGCGCAATAGTTATTTTTAATGCACTTCTACAATATGGGTATCAAATGAAAGGGCTCATTGAGAGTAACTAGAAAAATAATGTGACGCAATTCTAAATCCAATATGGAGGAATATCTAAGATGACGGAATAGTTATTATTTATGCACTAGGATTGCAATGTGGGTATCAAATGAAAGGGTTTGCCGAGAATAATTAGAATTATAAAAATTTACATAATAAACCGGCAAACGACCTTGCAACTATGATGCGTTGAATGAGATGAACAGACTGAGGAACCTAAAGCCAGCGATAACTATAGAGTAAAAAAATAAATAAAAGCATTTTTAAAAAAAAAAGCTTTTATTTAAACGCTTTAAAAAAAAGAAAATAAAATTTACCTTTTATACTTTAACTACCACACACTGTTATTCACACACCTATTGTATAAAAAGTTTCTACTTATCTGTCACACTTATTTGTAACAAGATTAAACACTTAATATATTAAACATTACTTTTTTTATATTTACATAGTAAAGTGCAAATATTTTACACTGAAGTTGTTATCGATGCTTTGTTTACCTCTATGGCAATATCAGGCATAGATATGATATGTCATGGTACTATTAGTTATTCTTATTAAAAAGTATTAGAATTTCGATCTTATCAGTCAGTCATACTTACATATGAAAAATATAAGTTAATAAACTATTTGATATTAATAAATTGCACATTATACACTTAAATACTAATAAATGAAGAAGTAATGTATCTAAATTATAAAAGTAGGTCTAGTAACAACCTTAGAATTTATTACTCTTAGTTGCTTGTTAGCTTATTTTTTATTGTCTCTAGATCCCTTTTGTTTGTAGGTAAAAGAGTTTTCACGGATCAAATCGATTATCTAATTGAGAACAGCATTATTAAATAATAACCTCGCCAAGTTCCAGTCGAACTCGAGCTCCAAGGGTTTAGTACATACATTTAAAAAAGCTTTAAAAAAGCGAAAAATAATTCAAATTAAGTTATATTAAATTCAGGCTGTTAAATAACCTACACAAGAGCCCAAAAATATTTCTTTGTTCCTTTTTAGAGTCGCTATTTAACAGATTTTAATGAAACTTGTGCTTTTGCTCAGGTAGGAAGCAATTTTATCAAAGATAAAATAATTGTGATCCTATGATTAATGTGCGAGAAATACCTACGTGTACTAAAAAATGAAATAATACATACATACACGAGTTCAAAACTTGGCACCAGTGTAAAGAACTTTAGAGGCCTCTATATATGAAAAATAGTGCGCCATTTCAACTGAATTACATAAATTAAAAAATAAGTAAACATGATAACCTTTTTCATAGCTTGTTATAAATCATCGACTTCTTATTATACTTAGATAGGTTTGTAGTAACCTATAGAAAAATAAATATTTAATGTATTCCTTTTAAACAGATATGCAGATTTCTAATGCATTTAATATCATGATGTGAATCCTAATTTTCTTAAAATTAAAAATCTAAATATGTTTTGAGATGCCCACTATAAAACCTTTCACGTTATAATTCAACTCATCATAGATGGACAGACCCGACCCGAGACCCGAAACCCTAATAAGCTTTTTGTAGATGGGTTTGCATTCGACTGCAACCAAAGCGTTATTATTACCGACAGTTCTTCCGGTTCTATGTTTTTTTTTTCACTAGCAGCGATGCGTAACTCGATGTCCCAATCCAGAGAATGACGATTGCGATGTGTTTTTTGATATATTACTATTTTGGTTGTAATTAAAAAAGAAATTGGGTAATTTTTTTTAAACATTAGTGCAATTTATACCTATTTTGTTATTATTGAAAATGTAATAATTCACGAACATATATTTTACATTTTTAAATTATCTTCTTTAACATTACAATAAGTTCATATTATTACTGCAATGGCGCCTTTTGATTTCATGTAACGACATTTTGAAAACCGTTTAAATTGATATTAACATTTTAATATGGTGAGATATTGGTGAGCTGTTGATTCTAAATACAAAGCATTTACAGAAACAAAGATATCATTAGTATTAACTAATTTAATAAATCGCTATATCGTGAAAAAAAGCTAGCAACATTCAATAGCCTTATTTTAAAACTAGGACTAAAGAGTAGTACTTGGTTTAAAAATTTAGTCCTAGTTTTATAAGACGGAAAAAGTTCAAAATATTCACGATGAGGTAAGTAGGTATTCCCGGTATTTAACGAATAATAACTACTTTAATAACTACACTTAAAGAAAAATTCTTAAAATATTATCCAGTCCCATTTGTCGGAAATGGTTTAAACCCACAACCATCCACAATTCGGGTGACTGCTGTAACCAAAGTAGGCAGCCGGAATAATTTCACCAATATGAGTGGATATTATCAGCAAATAACGTACTCGTAGGCTAAAATGTAATAAAAAAAATATTGTGACATTTGAAATGCACATATGTGTCCATACTATTTATTTAGTTAGACATTTATTAAGTTAATATTTTCCTAGCGATAGGTTGTTAACCAGCTTACAATAATATTAATTGCAAATAATTTGAACAGTAGGTACAATGTGTTGTTTATATTATTAACGTGTATACATTTTATGTTATTACAGTTTTATTAATAAATTCATTGTGACCAACTTTTATACGGAAATATTTTGTTCTTATAGATACCAAGGAAAAGGTAAATAGCTACTTAAATATATGATTAGTCAAAGTACTAAAACAAGAAAATAGGAACAGACATCTTGTAATCCAAAGTACAGCGCCCTAAAATCCTCGTAGACTCAATATACTTTACAATTAATTTTCCTAATATGAGATTGTGTGTATTTTTGTGGATATATAATTTAATTTTGAACTGAATTGAAACTGAATGTGTGTCTCGGGCTTTCGGTATTTTAGTATCTTCATAGATTATTTCAATGGCAAATATAATTCATTTACAACCAATAATAATAAAAACTGATTTACTGCAGCATCGAAACCAAGTCACGAATACTGTGTTTTAATAATTAACAAAAATTTAATAACCTGTACATTGTTATTCTGAACACTTTAAAACAACTTCTGCAGAATCATTAAATAACAATGTTGTCATTGTAATGACTTAACTCTGTGTACGGTGTGTTAAACTTTATGCATAGGTTAAGGAAGACTTAACACTATATTATCAAACCACAATCCATATCCACAAAAATTCGTTTATTTTAGAAACTTTTGATTTTGTCGATTATTCTATATTTCTACAAATAAGTACACCGCATTATCAACTTATTTACATCGGAACGTATTTAAGGTTGTTAAATTATATTTTCGTATATGTACCCACCACTTCAGCGGTTCTTAAACTTTTTGGCGATGGAGCTCTCCAGAAATTTTAATCCAATCCGTTGCAATGTATTATTTATATTTTATGTAATTTGTAAGTATTGTTCTGATTGTTAGATTTATACGTAAACTAAATTATGACTTTATGGTGTATTTTGGTGTACCATAAAGAAAATTTCATCCATTTCATTTTGTTCAAACCAAATATTTACACGGCGTTCTATAAAAAAAAAAGCTTGTTTTACATGTGTACTGTTTATTAATAATTAATTACATACTTATTTTATTTCTATTCCGATTATTTTCCAAACTATATTTCGCGAATTTCCAAAATATGCTTTGCCCAGGGCTCCGCGAAGCATACCGATTTTGAGAAACTCTAATCTAGTTTATTAATGTATTATGTTATTTACAGTTAAATCCAGATGTGAACGCTTTCCAACGCAAATTCGTGAACGAGGTTCGACGATGCGACGAAATGGAACGCAAACTCCGCTACATCGAGGCGGAGGTCCATAAAGATGGAGTGCACGTGCCTCAAGTAAAGGAGCCGCCACGTGCTCCTAATCCCAGAGAAATTATCGACCTTGAGGTAAAGACAATAAAGTCATATTAATTACAACACAGGATAATCTTTGAAATTAACTGAGCTATTTTTAAAACGAATCATGTAGGAAAATGGTTCGTTACATCTACATATCTATGCGGAGTCAGAGTTTGATACAAACCAATAATCGATTTTAAAACCATTGAAATCTCTTTCAAAAGTGACACTATTAGTTACATGACCAAAAAATGGCGTTTTGTAAAACAAACTAAACTGATTACAATTTAAAGAACGTAAAATATTTCTCAAGCTATTAAAGTTTTGATACCACAATGGTATATCAAGAATATAAAATGCTTGATGGTTATTGACCTTTAACACATGAATACCTGTTTTTTTATACTTATATATGCATTTTCTACATTCTCAGGCGCATTTAGAGAAAACTGAGAATGAAATCCTGGAGCTGTCACACAATGCTGTGAATCTGAAACAGAACTATTTGGAACTTACTGAACTGCGACATGTACTAGAGAAGACGGAGGCTTTCTTCCTAGCACAAGAAGAAATCGGCATGGATTCATTGACCAAGTAAATAGCTTGATTGTCGTATATCAGTCTCGAAGGATCAATTCTTGGTATTTAGTCAAATGAAAAATAATAACCATAACTTTTTCCACTTTTAGAAATTAAGGGCTATTTTTGGGTAATCTCTTTATGGCTGAATTTTATAACGTAAAACAGGGAATGACATACTCTTTATTTTGTAAATACGTAGTCGCTTGGCATGCACTCATATAGACATTTAAAACTCATGATTTTGATAGTCAGAAGTATATTCTTAAGTCGTATATTTTATATGTACAATTATAAAATAAGGAGAACTTAACCGATTGATTGGTTCTGTCTTTGTTATAACAAACAAAATTATGCGAAAATTGTATTTTGGCAAAAGTAATTATAATAAAAACTGTCGTCTTAAAGTTATGACATTTTATATTTGGACATACGAACAAACTTTTGGCGAATTGATAATTATGCTTAACATTTTTTATAAGTTTTGTCAAAAGAAGATTGTCTGTTATGCTATGTTACCGTTTCAGAGCATCGAGTTTCTGCCAGATGCAGGAGACCGATTGTTCTGATATATTTTGCTTTGTATCAGGTCGCTGATCTCCGACGAAGCTGGTCAGCAGCAAGCTACCCGCGGTCGTCTTGGGTTTGTAGCGGGCGTAGTACAAAGGGAACGCGTGCCTGCCTTCGAGCGTATGCTCTGGCGTATATCGCGAGGCAACGTGTTCTTGCGACGTACCGATCTCGACAAACCACTCGAAGATCCTGCTACCGTAAGTGTTTACCATACCTCGAGAATAAGAGTGGATTTATTTAAGTATATAGATTGGCACAATGTCTTTTTGTGTAAAGTAATACAATGAAATAAGCATATATTTAGATATCGTTAGAAAAATTGTTAAATGAGTAAAGCACATGCAATAGAATAAAATGTCCGCAGATGTCAAAATTTCTGCAAATTATTAGTAGCATTACACTTATATAAATACTTAGTCACTCTGTCTGTTACAAAGATATAAATAAACAGAAATAATTTAATCCCCTCGTGGTTTGGAGAGCAACTTATATACTAGGTATCTGAAATTATACTAACGTCAAATCCGTTATAGAAATAATACAGTTGATAAATTCAATTAATAATGTTTTCTTAAGCTATCTTTTTACTTCTTTTTTATCGTTTATTGACGTCTAGATAAGTGACAAAAATAAATAAAACTAAATACAAAAAAGAACTAGGTGCTAATTGGGCCAGTAGCTTAACATGATGTGTAAAAATCATGATAATTTATTGATTATTTTCAACTATAAATAGAGATAAAAAGGAGTATTCGCTGAAATCTTTATGGGTGACATGCTACGAGCTACGGCGTAGCAGAATCTATAATATCTTTGTATACGATTCTTATTGCCTTTCCAGGTTTGTTAATATTAATTAACGTGTTGGCAATACAGCTGTATTATAAGTAAAACAAAGGAGCGCTGAAACCCGCTCTGATAATACTGAATCGATTTTAAAAAATCTGTCACGTGCACATCATACGTGGATGACATAGGCAACACTTTACGAGGGTCAAGTCGTGAGAAAACAAGACTAATTAATATATTTCCTCATCTTTCTCAGGGCAATGAGATATACAAGACGGTATTCGTAGCGTTCTTCCAAGGTGAACAGCTAAAGTCTCGCATAAAGAAAGTGTGTGCTGGATTTCATGCATCCCTGTACCCATGCCCGCCATCCAACTCTGAACGTCAAGATATGGTCAAAGGTGTCCGTACCAGACTCGAAGATCTTAACATGGTGAGTTTGTGATCGTTAATAAACGCCAAATGAAGGTTACTTCATTATTATGAATTTTCTTCGTCGATTATACTGACAAAAGGATTGTTAGACATAGAATCTATAGGGCGCTGGTTCATATCCCGCTCAAAGGACCAAAAATGTTAGATATTAACGAACTGATATTATTAAAACTACACAAACGCTTTATTTGTTTTAAGTTAGAACACACATTAGGAACACGTGTTTTATTGGTGTAAAAATATGTATTTAAGTTTATATTGAAGAAATTAAGGACCCAATACAAACGCTATACTTGTACTCTGTAAACGCTGTCTACATCCAGAAGAGCGATAGAAGTGAGAAAGAAATATAGCGATTGTGAAAGTAAATTATATAATTCGGTAATGTTTTAAGGGAACGAATGATGATATGAATGATCAAGAAATATAATAAAAACCGAGTTAAATCCGTCGAAACATTCCAATTAATATTTTTTTCACATTTCTCAATAGCCTTCAAAAAAAAATCCGTATAACGCTTGCCTTAGACAATTCTAAATGACGTCAACGATAGCGTTCATTCAATATCGTTCAAAACGTCGCATTCGCCATCTCTATCACTTGTCAAATGGTTGTATGTAGCGTAAAGTGAATGCGAGATCATTTAAAAACATTTCTTCTGTTTTGACGATTTATTATGCTCTTGTTCGCAGTATATTGGAGTATAATTCGGTAATTTGGTCGCCTAATTATCTAGTTCACATTAACAATCTCGAACGAATACAGAAGCGTTTTATTAGGTTCTTATGTTATAAATTTAACCTACTACGCACCTACCGTTCATATGAAGAGAGATTGAAAAGATTTAATTTGCAATCGTTGGCAATTAGGAGAGGGGTCCTAGATTTAATGGCATTATATAAAATTGTAAACTTTAAAATTGAGTCCTCTAATTTATTGTCTCAAATTAATTTTAACACTAATTATCGCACCTAAAATGTTTACACTTAATGTGTATCTTAATAATAGTTCTTACTATAATCCTATATCTAGAATGTGCCGCCGATATAATGAACTCATTGGTAATGGATCGGATATTGATATTTTCAACTGTAATACATTAACTTTTAGGAGAGAACTTTTTAACGCATTGGTGTAATTTTTAACTTTTTTTTTAAATTGATATTTAGTGACTTAGCGATGTTATTCAAAATTCAAAATTATAATTATAAAGAATGTAATAGTTATTTAAGTATATAAATGTATGTTTTTGTTTAATTTGTGTTTGCAGTATGTACATGTGAAGGGTCGCAACCTTGATAACTGTAAAACATACTTTTAATTTGTATTTTCACCCGGTTGTCACCTGTACATCTTAATAAATAAATAAATAAATAAAAGTTCGTGAATATTTTTCAAATGTCATGTTCAGGTAAGGGATTGCGATTAATTTTACAATTAGACGATAGGGGTGATGACTAATTTTTGTTAATCGTCTGTCAGGTACATTATTAAAGAATATTAAACACTTATTTTTTTCTATTAGCGTAATCAATAAATCACGAAGGCACATTAAGTTGAAATGTCGCATGACTTTACACCTTGTTCATACGTTTTCTATATAGTTATGTGCGAGCCTTCACTCCGCAACTTTAACGCCTGTTATTTAATTCTTAAATTGAAGCAAAAAATACGAATCTAAATAGAATTTACTAATTAAATATACTTTTTTTTTTTCTTTCACCCAGTGATGTGATTTTATTTATTCATGATAGATATTTATTGATTACATTTATATATTTAATTATCCAGGTGTTGAATCAAACCCGCGACCACCGCCAGCGAGTTTTAGTGAGTGTTGCCAAAGAGTTAGCCAGTTGGTCGATCATGGTGCGCAAGATGAAGGCTATTTACCACACGCTCAACTTATTCAACATGGACGTCACTAAAAAATGCCTTATCGGAGAATGTTGGGTACCCACTGCTGACCTGCCCAACGTGCAAAAGGCTTTGGTTGATGGATCTGTAAGTTTTTTTTAAATTGTAGATATAAGTCAATTTTTATCGTAAAATTTTATAAAACTAAAAAAATCGTGTCGTTATAAAAATCAGAAACATTTGTTTTCAATTTTAACAATGATTTGAAAAAGAGTTCCGTATTCTGCCATTCGACTACGAAATCGAATTACCGAATAATTAATTAGCTGAGTAGCTCGGTGGCGTAGCGGATAACGCCGCGGCCCACGATCGTTGTCGTTAAGCAACTTTCGCAAGGGTCGGTCACGGGATGGGTGACCAAAAAATTGTTATCTCGAGCTACTCCGTGCTTCGGAAGGCACGTTAAGCCGTTGGTCCCGGCTGCATTTGTAGTCGTTAATACCCTCCAATCCGTATTGGGCCAGCGTGGAGGGTCATGGCCCATCCTCCTTAACCATCCATAAGGAAGGCCTGAGCTCATTTTACGTGTGGGGACGTAAAAGGGCTGATGATGATGATAATGATGATGATGAATAATTAATTTACCGAATTTATGAACTTAAAACTATAAATACAGAGTTCTAGCTCACATAGATCTTAAATCATCTCCGAAACTACGTAACTTATCGGATCATCACTATTGCGTCACTAACTGATAGAGATTTTATGTAACAAGTAAGAAGACAGAATCCAAGATGGTGGCGCTTCTGTACCGATGGGCAATTTAAGCAACACGTATAATAAATATTTCTGATGTCATTGTAGAATGCGTGCGGCAGTTCTATTCCATCGTTCCTGAACTGCATCGAAACAGACGAGGAACCGCCAACGTTCAACCGCACCAACAAATTCACTCACGGCTTCCAGAACCTCATCGATGCATATGGAGTCGCCTCCTATCGAGAATGCAACCCTGGTAACCTGAATATTATATTTTTTTGTTGTGCAGATTTATTAGACACAAACGACAGAATATTAGACACGTTTATTTTGCGTAATCAATAAATTGCGGTGATACGTTGAGTTAACGCCTTTGTACATTTTCTACACAGTTGTGACGTAGCGAGCCTCCACTCCTCAACTTTAATGCATATTATCTGAGCCATTTTTTGTTAAATTGAAGAATTCCTTTTTCTGAGTGATGGATTGAATAGAATTCATCATCCTTATTCCGAAGTACATATCCAAGAATTATTGTAAAAACATACTTCACATTTGGCACTTAACAGGGTGTTTATACGATATTTAACTTGTCACTACGTGAGATCATCACAAAGGGAAATCGATCTCCCAATGCGGTATACTTAAATGTTGGAATTACAACTAAATAACAAAATTAACTTAAACATTATTCTTAATGAAATATTATTATTTTACTTTTTTACAATATTGTGTTTTTAAATGGAAAGGCTAAAAGATTTAGGACCACTTTATGCAATATACTCGTAAATTAATAAGGGGAGGTCCCTTGAAATTGTAATTAATTCCCTAGGATATGATAGGTTTATTATTATTATTAAAATATTACATATTTATACCAATACTGATTCTGAGTACAATTGGGCAATTTGGCATTTGAAATATTTTTCACGAACATCACGTTTCAATTATTTGACACGCGATAGATAGTGAATGCGATCGCGACGTTAAATAGAAGTGTCTAAGACAAGCATCACTCGCAAATATGACTTTATGTTAAGGTTATCATTTTTATTACGTTTCATGATTATTGAAATCATCATTGGTTCCGCAAATATTGGTGACTATACCTTCAACAGGGATTGTGATAGATTTTGAAATTAGACTATTAGGCTACTTGTTTGCTATAAGTTTATATATATTTAAAAAAACTACAGTGTTTATTTTTATTTTGAACAGCTCTATACACGATCATCACGTTCCCGTTCTTGTTCGCGGTAATGTTCGGTGATTTAGGACACGGCATGATTATGGCTCTATTCGGCGGTTGGATGGTCGTCAAAGAAGTTTCCCTCGCAGCTAAAAAGTCTAACAACGAAATCTGGAACATTTTCTTCGCCGGTCGCTATATCATATTACTCATGGGCTGTTTCTCTATGTACACTGGATTAGTGTACAACGACATATTCTCAAAATCTATGAACATATTTGGCTCAACGTGGTTCGTGCCCTACGATAACGCTACTTTAACAAGCAATGCAGCAATGACATTGGACCCTAAGGATGCGTTTATTAACGTTCCGTATTTCATCGGCATCGATCCTATTTGGCAGGTAATTGTTTTGATGCTTATAAATTTTGGAGCGATTTATCAAAGTTTTGGTGTAGGTATAATATGTAACTTCTAAAAACGGAATTTCACCTAAAACCGCGACGAAACAATATATTTAATCATTTATCTATCCGCATGCTGCCATCTCTGAGCTCCCGGGTTTGACGGTTGGGTCAATTTAAGAAGTGAAATTTTCTATATTGTCTCGGGTCTGGGTGTTGTGGTACCCTCGTTGTCTCACACACTCCATAATAAGGGCCATATACCAGGGCTTTGGTATAATGTATGTGAAGTTGTCTCATATTTATTTATTACTACCTGACCCGACGAACTTCGTACCGCCCTTTACCCGTTTTTTATAAATTTTCTTATATACAAACCTTGTCCTGACAATAAGGAATACATAAAAAAAAGAATCATTATTTTTTTGCAGTCGTTTGGAAGTTATACACGTACATTTACATTTTGGCGTTTAATTGTATATATATATTTTTCATTCATTTTTCTCTCCAGCTTCATATACGAGTAGGTAATTCGTAAGTCGATTGAACCAGAATTAGATACAAATTAAACCTTTTATATTGAACTTACAGCCGGTAGCACCACGAATGTAGTATAACACCCGGTTTCTGAATTGCGTATTTTAAGTTAAGCCCATCTCAAACTATACTTAAACACCTCTTAGAAAAATTTTAGTTCTTTTAATGATCAGTTGACAGCAGTTCGAAAAGATCAAGGACTGTTTGCCTTGTGAAAAGTAAAAAGCTTAAGTTATTGAGAATAGTCAATTGTGAGTTTATACTTTTCTCAATTCAGAAACCGGCCGTAAGTATTCTATATTGTCTAGGGTAAAAAATGATATAATGATAGATTTCGCTTAGGTTTTTGATAAAGTTAGATAGTGGTACTGATACTTTTATATTATTTCCTTGTTACAGACGGCCGACAACAAAATCATTTTCTTGAACTCCTACAAAATGAAACTATCTATTATTTTCGGTGTCATCCATATGATTTTCGGTGTTTGCATGAGCGTCGTCAATTACAAGTAAGTCAAAGTTAACTTATTATTACTTAAGTTATTGTGATTTGCTAACAGTCGACACGGACTATTTTAATTAAAAAAACTTCGTTGCCTGTTTTTATTATTTCATCACAAAATTAAATCTTCGCAACCGATTATGTATTTTAAGTTTAGACAAAATACGGCTTAAAATAAATTTAACCATTTCAAGATAGCTGATATTATTTTCTAGTTTCTTCAAACGTCGCTACTCCATCTTCCTGGAATTCATCCCACAAATAGTGTTTCTCTGCCTGCTCTTCTTGTACATGGTGTTCATGATGTTCTACAAGTGGGTCGCCTATAGCGTTTTTTCTGAAGGTATGTCAAACATTATTTAATTAATTGTCTTTGATTTTTATGAAGAGTAAAGATACGCTAGAATTATATTTACTAATATAGCTATAAATTACGAAGACTAAGGCTGCGATCGCACTGTGACTTAACACAGATTTGAAACTTGGCGGTCAGTGACATACAACCTTTATACAAGTGCAGTGCATGCATAAGGGTCGATTCACACTAGTCGGATGATCCGTCGCATACTAACGCTTAAGTACTTTAGTAAGACGCTCGATGAATATTCCGTCAGATTTACACCGACCTCTAGCCGATTGAAATTTCAAGCCGCAATTTTTTGTGTTTTCATGTATATCGAAACAGCATGCATTTAATCGCAATCTTAGCCGAACATCTGGCATTTTATCACTTAACCGAATCTACGAGTTTATTATATATATCCCCTTTTAGAAAAAAGCGTATATACTTATGTATACCAGAGAACGATAAGTCAAGAGAAATTTGTATTTAGCTCTAGAATTAATTTTACAATTTTTTACGATATAAAGGCCCTAATTTCTAATACACAAACCAATAACAATAAATCTAATAAAGTGAAATTAATTATATGCACGTTGTTTGAAGTAAAGCAAATCTGAATTTATATAGAGGATGTTATTAATGCGTATCTTCGCTTTTTTATTTTAAGCAAAGGATATATTTTTTATACAAACTAAAGTTTGTTGGTACATTATAATAACATTTGTAGAGATATCATGCAATAGTTTATTTAACTTTTATTCTTTTTTTAGAGGAAGCATTCACACAAGGCTGTGCGCCGTCCGTGCTGATATTGTTCATTAACATGATGCTGTACTCCAGCACTACGCCAGAGGGTGGCTGCAAGGAGTTTATGTTCGAATCCCAAGGCACTATACAGACAGTGTTCTTACTGATTGCTCTTTGCTGCATCCCTATTATGTTACTGGGCAAACCATTATATCTGCTGTCAGCTTCCAAGAAAAGTAAACATGTAAAGGTATTTTTGTCATTTCAAAATTATGTGAAACAGTGTAAAGCAGATAAATTCCACATAAATGATAAATATCTACATTTGATTGTGATCGTAATGCTATAAAGCTCTATTGTATTTCCGCTTACGTTCCCCTACAAATACGCTTTGAGAGTAAAGACGCGCTCGTTTGATTTCATACATTTTTAATCACAGAAGAAAAAATGCAGTTACAAAAAATATTTTTGATTATATCAAAACCTATTTTTGTATAGTTGAGACGCAATAAATTAGTCGTAAAATCGATCCAAAAACCCTATTTCGTCATCTTTGCTATCGAGTCAATTAAGTTTGAAATTTATGTTTATATTTTTAGCAAGTAATCGATCATATATTTATTTTTAATGTTTTTATTTGGCAAATATAAGCATAGCCTTAGAATAAAATTGGTTTAAAAATGGTCACTTCGTACAACCTCGCCTTAAGGTTTTAAGGTAGAGTTTAAAATCAACTGGAGAAGTTTGATATATTGTGGTGACCGTGCGTGTAGTAGCAAAATTTTTAACTGTTATGTTTTGAGTTAAATTGATATTGGTATAATTTTATTTTCAGCCGGAAAACTCAAACGGCAATGTTAACCAAGGTATAGAGATGCAAGATCAAACTGATATAAGTGAAGTGGAACAGAAACCTCAGGCTGCCGCCAGCCATTCGCATGAGGACGAACCGTTCAGCGAGATCATGATACATCAGGCCATACACACTATCGAATATGTACTCAGTACGATATCCCATACAGCCTCCTACTTACGACTGTGGGCGTTGTCACTAGCTCATGCCGGTAACTATTTTTAGAACACTTATAATTTAAAAAAATACTCATATATTAAATAGCGGATTTATAGTTTCGAAATTCCATAGAAATGGTAACATACGATATTGAATACTCTTAATATATAAAGAAAAATCCTCTGTGGAGATTCATAGATGTATGGAAAATTTTAAATGACCTATAGCGCGAAATCAGCTCACACTTAGCCGATGTTTCATATCATCATCATCAGCCCTTTATTTCGTCCCCACTGCAGGGGCTCAGGCCTTCCTTATGGATGGTTAAGGAGCATGGGCCATGAACCTCCACGCAGGCCCAATGCGGATTGGCGGGTATTAACGACTACAAAGCAGCCGACACCAACGGCTTAACGTGCGTTCCGAAGCACGGAGTAGCGCGAGGTAATAATTTTTTGGTCACCCATCCCGTGACCGACCCTTGCGAAAGTCACTTAATGACAACGATCGCGTGCCGCGGCGCATATCCACTATGCCACCGAGCTACTCACATGCCAATCATAAATTTACTGTACCTGCATAAAATTTTATACATAGTATAAAACAAAATCGCTTCCTGCTGCCTGTACGAGTATAAAACAAAATCGCTTCCTGCTGCCTGTACGCTTATTCTTCTTTTTTAAACTACACTACAGATTTTCATCAATATACAGAATTATTTAAAAGCAAAGTTTACATGTATAGCACAGGACCATGCGGATGAAACCACTAGTAGAAAGCTAGTTTTAATATAATTTTGTTTATCTGCAGAGTTATCCGAAGTATTATGGAACATGGTACTAAAGTTCGGTCTCCAAGACCATGGATACGTGGGTGCTGTGAAACTGTACGTGGCATTCTGTTTCTGGGCACTATTCACGCTCGCTATCCTCGTCATGATGGAGGGACTCTCCGCCTTCCTGCATACCTTACGTTTGCACTGGTAAGATCAATGTATATCTTACACCCATTTTCACTAACATTAAATAAGGCATAGCTTCAATACGAAACGTCTAATCTTATGAATCACCTAAGCAGATAATTTCATATATATATATTTGATCAATTTCGCATTCATAATGCTATACTGTAAACTATTCCTTATGAAAAAAGCTTAAAAATCCACTTGGAACTCAATCCTTGGCACTCTGTGAAGAGATATAAATAAATTACATAAATAATAGACAACATCACTTACATTGCTCAGATTCCAAGATGAGTAGCTAGCTATACACCCAGACCCGAGACAATATGAAAAATTCGTCTGTCCTGCTAGGTCCTGGGTAGCTCAGCGGTTAGAGCAGTCGCCCGGAATAAGAAAGGGTTCGAGTCCCATCTCAGAGTGCCAGGGACAAAGTGGATTTTTTAAGCATTTTTCATTAAGAATATTTCTCAGTATATCATTGTCCTAAATATTTAGGTGACAGATTTGAGTCTCTTAAGTTATGTGAAGGATTTGTTGTTTCCATCGAATAGGTTCCGAAACTACTGGGCCGATTTAAAACATTTTTTTACGTACATGAAACTAAGTCATACTCAGGTGACATAGTCTATAATTTGCTCTAGATACTTAAAAACAATTATTGCATAAAGTAGGTATGTAGAATGCGAATTCTGATCTAACTTTAACTTACTTAAACGCGTGCGAATTCTGATCTTAACTTACCTAAACGCGTTTCAGCTTGCGGATAAGTTTCTGTATTGATTAATTACTTTTTTTTGCCAGGGTGGAGTTCATGAGTAAGTTCTATTCTGGTCTGGGATACATCTTCCAGCCGTTCTGCTTCAAGACCATCCTCGAACAAGAGGATAGAGATGATTAAATTAATGTAACACGACGTGAAAATGTAGTGTAGTTAAACAGTATTGAATTATAATATTGATTGCGTCAATCGCAAACGTCACAAATAAGTTGAAATAAAGTATTTATGCATGTTATATTATGTTACTTTTTTTTTCAAACCACTACAGCAGGCCAAATATTAGCAACATTCATAATAGCATCTCAATGAGCAAATATTTAAAAAAAATGAATGCACTAAAAAAGCACCTCCGCTAGATGGCGACTCTAGCAAAAGTTGATTTTAGTAGGAAACGAATGGACCAAAGACAGTCATTTCCTTTTAACTAACATATTAAAAAACTGAAATTTGAAAAGTTCGAAACTTAGATAAGTATATTATACAATACTATAATACAAATACGAAAAAGTACAAATAGAATACGAGTTGTTTTTTGAGTTTTCAAAACTAATTTACTTTTAAACTTGAACGAAAACCGGAAAGGTAGTCATGGAAAAATCAAGTACGTACCGTAGCGACATCTAGTTTTATTTATTGGATTTTTTTAATACTTCCTCATTACTTGCCATTGTAATATCTACCTGAAGTTCAATAATTATAAATATCTTACCATTAATGTGTGAGAAAGACATTGCACTAATAACATTGGACTTCAGGTAGATAGGATCTCAACTACTAACAATTTTAAAATGCCAGTAGTTGAGATCCTATCCTATCCTATCCTCTTCCCTTTGGACCGCGAAAGCGATAAGTTGTGTACCTGTGCTAGTTTTTATTCAAAATATTACGAAATAAATAATATTTATTATACAAATTTTAAATGAATTTCGTAAATATCACGGAAAGTACCAGGCGCTCATAACGTACAAGCAACATCACAGTGTACAAGAAGGAAAGGAACGAGAACAGTGATAGCAATAATTCTCCGAGCGGCGCTGCACACACTGCACGTGTGCGTCATCGACTGCGTGTACGTCACCTTATTCTCGCTTGCTATAATTCATAAGCGGAAGCGATAGCGGTGCAGATTATAAAGAGTTGGCCCAAGTGAATTTGATTTAAAATGGATAAATCTATGTCGGAATCGAACTTAGATCTCCTGCCTATAGATAATACTCCACCAAATTTTATACATTCGCGTATCAAAAGAAGGCGTGAAGAGGTGGAATATGTTTCAGAATTGGACACATTTAAAGAAGACATAAAAAATACTATGATCAACTTGTTCACTAAGCACAAAGAGGAATTTAAGGATATCATGCCAACACTAAAAGAAATGAAGCAAGTGAACACAAATATTCAAAACTCCATTGAATTTCTTTCGAAGCAGAATGAAGAATTTAAGCAAAAGATAGAGTACTTAGAAAGTCAAGCAAAGATTGATAGGGACCATATCAGTCTTCTTGAGGAAACAATAGAAGAGATACAAAAGACACAACGTAAGAGCAACTTTGAAATAAAAAATGTGCCCTTGAAAGACAAGGAAACAAAAGACAGTCTAGTGGAAATGGCTCTATGTTTAGCAAAATATGTGGGTTCTAACTTAAAAGCAACGGACGTGAAAGATATTTACAGAGTTCGTGCGAAAAAGCGGGATATTCAAAATACCTCAATTGTTGTAGAAACAAACTCCACAGTGCTTAAAACGGAATTGATACAGATGACTAAGCATTTTAACATCACACATAAAACTAAATTATGTGCTAAGCATCTTGGTTTCACAAAGGCAGAAGATACACCAATTTTCATAACGGAACACTTAACGCGCACTGCATCTCGACTTCACTTCTTGGCAAGAGACTTGGCAAAATCCAAAGGATACAAATATTGCTGGACCGCATATGGAAAAGTGTATGTAAGAAAACTTGAAAATTCACCTATAATTAATATTACCAACGAAGCTCAAGTTCAGAAACTGTTTTTTATTGATAAGTGACTAGTTTCTGCTTTTTTAACTTTTTCTAAAAAATATCTATTCTTGAAAATTTGTAACTTACTAGTCTATATTGTTAGTTTAAATCTAAAATTGCATCGTTCACTTGACCATGTGCTTCTCTTCTCTCTTTATGTTTTATTTATAGTAATACACAAACAAACAAATAATATACCCTTAAAAATACACACACGTACTGTATACACCTTCATATTCTGCAACTACACTTATACAAGAAAACCAAATTCACATCCACATTCAATTATAATTCATTGTCCATTTATACCAAATTTAATGTATAATAATAAAATAATACATAAATATAAGATACAATCAGTAATATTTTCGCGACAGATCGTAAAAATATATCTCCGTAATCGTGAAAAAATATTAGGTTTTTGTTGCTCATTTTCATATGGCTAACACACTCCAAACTCTGCATGAAATAGACGATTTGAATATAGCTACTGCTATCAGATGTGATACCGACCTTAAAAATCATTATAATCCAAATAAAAATGATCTCACGATCATTGCCCAGAATATTTGTAGTATATACCATAACTTCGATGATTTCACAACAACTCTTTCGGGTCTCAACTTTAAGGCTGATGTTATCGTCCTGAGTGAATGTTTTCTTAACAGTTGTAAACCTATCCCTAAATTAAATGACTGCAACGAATATATGACTACAAACCATATTAACAAAAATGATGGAGTAGTAGTTTACTTAAAAAATACCCTCAACTCTTATGTTAAAGAAATTGTTCTATCTGAAGCATCTTGTCTACAGATAGATATCTTAAATAATACTATACTATGTATTTATCGATCCCCGTCAAATAAAAATGCAGACAATTTTATTACTTCATTAGATACTCACCTAGATACGTTGAAACCTGGAAATAATGTGGTTATTACCGGAGACATTAACATCAATCTGATACCTAGATCTAATGAACAGCTTTATGAATATAACAACAGAGTGCATTACCTCGATGTATTATCACTCTATGGCATACTTCCTGGACATCGATTAGCTACTAGGAAGGAAAGTTGCCTTGATCATTTTATGTTGAAAATTAATAAAATGAAGATAACAGCATTTATTGCTATTTTATTAACCACACATACAGACCACTTCACAACATTTTTAGCTATAACTAAAACAAAAAATACAAATATTAAAATTAAAACCAATTCTTCTGTTGACTTTGAAAATGCACTCAAATACTTACAACAACAAAATCTATCCGATTTACTCCTCTACGAAGATCCTAATCTTATAGTAGAAACTTTAATTCTAAAGTTAACAAAATCCATAGACAATAATACTTTGACTATATCGATTCCCAAAAGTAAACGTATAATAAAACCTTGGATCACTCCTGGATTGCTAAAATGTATCAATAATCGTAACAAGCTACAGAAAGAATGTAGATCTGACCCATTCAATGAAATAAAGAAAATTACGTACAAACGATACCGAAACTACTGCAATAACCTGATTAAAAAAATTAAAAGAAAATATGAAAGGGACTTACTTACTAACTCACTTAAAAATAACAAATTACTATGGAAAAATATTAAAAAAATAACATACATTAATAAAACAAACAAGCAGAATCCAGAATTAATACAAATCAAATCAACGCCTCTTGAATCTGCAAATTTTATTAACAACTACTTTTCTGGGATAGGCAAACAGTTGGCTGAAAGTATACAATCGACTGTAACTCAAGATAGCTTAAATAATTGGCAAAATACAAAAATGGGGCCCATTGCTATCAAAACTGGTAAGGTTTTTTGAAGTAAAATCATTAAATATACAAATACTTTAAAATGCTAAGCAACTTTATCATCAGCTCTTTTTCGTGCATGGACAGGTAATAAAACTATTAAACACTAACAACATAAATTACAATTATTTTTATACTTGGTTTAGATATTGGGCAATAAGGGGGACTAGTTGCTCACGTCCGCAGGCGTTGGCCCTTTGTTACCCTGCACGTGTCCCCCGGGTGGCGCTAACGAGCAACTGAGAGGAGCCCGTCAGGCGTCCTAGACTTATTCCGGGTAGCGGCTGACGGGCAGGGAAGAGGAGGGTTCGACCCCTTCGGGTGGGTCGTCGTTGGCCCTTTTCAGGGCCGTTGTGAGGATGATCGCGCATAGGGGGGTGGTAAGACCCTTCCTGGGTCGCGTTTGGGGGCTTCCCTCTTTGAGGGAGTCTTGTGAGGATGGGTTCCGGGTCGGCGTCCTGACCTTATGTCGGGTAGCGGCGGCGCGGTCCGGGCTGGGCAGGCGCCTCGGAGGTAATCTGAGTAGTGGCTGTGCCAGTGAGGGCAGTGGGCCTGCTGTTTGTGGTCTTCATGAGCAGTGGGTGTCGTGTTTTCTGCCTACAACCACCGGCTGTTCTGTAATTCTGCAGGGAGCAGAACCGGAGGAGCTGCCTTTCATTAGGTGACTCTGCGTGGTGAACCCACGATAAAAAGCGTCTAATCCCAAGCTAGCCGTGGGTGAGGGAATGAGTGGCAGCCAGAAGGGCTGTCGCTACACGGCCTCTGGAGGCGGGGACCGGCCGACCCCCGCCTTCACAACCCTAGGCTTGCCCGCGTATGGAGCCTCTGCCCGGGTGGACTTGTAGTTGCGACCACTCTCGTGGATACAAAATAGAGAAATGTAATTTTAAAAAACAAAAACAAAAATCTGTTGTGAGGGGGCCTAACTCGGGCGTAGATGTGTGCGCCGCGCCGCGCCGATGACCGACGCCGATCATGACACGCCGCTGCTGACCGGTTCGAAAGACCGGCGTAAACGGCGCGGTATGACACGAACTGCGAGTAACATTCGTTCTTTCGGTTGCTAAGCAACATAGTACATTCTGTGCGGCACGTGTTAATTCCGTTTCGTATTTCCATATTTAGTAAAATTTTAATGAATACAAAAGTAAAGTCAATGAACAGATGCAAACAAATAAACAATCGAATCTTTCTTCTTTAATTACAGCTGTCAATCTTGTACAATTAATGTTGCACTCGTTTTCAAGATAAAGTTGGCAGAAATAAAAAATTCAATACTTTCTCTTATTTGTCTACTCTAGCTAACCCGTTATAAGCACACCTAGCGAACATGTATTCTTTATAGCTGGCTTTACTAAAACGATTAAACGATTGCCTCTAACTGGGAATAATATCAATAAAATAATTTCTATACGTGATAACTATTAGGTTGGGGAACAAGTCTTTTCGTATATAGTATGCATAAAGTTGTACTAAAATCTTTCTGGCTATACCATTTCTATATGGCTGGTTGCGGTATTATTAAAAAGTTCAAATTTTAAAGAAGATTTCGAATTCAAATTAAGAAAATGTGTGATTTTCATTTGTTTTTCTAACTGGTGATAAAAACTGGATCACGTACGACAAGAACATGCGAAAAAAATCGTGGTCAAAGGTCGGTCAGGCTTTTTAGACTATGGCGAAATCCGGGTTAGCTGGCAAAAAGGTGATGCTGTTTGTATGGTGGGATTGGAAGGGTATTATTCATTATGAGCTGTTACCGTCAGGCAGCATCATCGATTCTGAACTCTACTGCGAATAACTGATGAGATGAAAGCAAGAAGTTGAGAGAAAGCGGCCAGAATTAATCAATAGAAAGGGAGTGGTTTTTAAATAAATTAAGAGTTTGGCTGGAAGGTGTTAATACATCTGCCGTATAGTCCCTGACCTTGCACCTTCAGATTTCCACCTGTTTAGGTCTCTACAGAATTTTTTAGACAGCGTCCAGTGAACATCACGCGTGTATTGTGAAAACCACTTGACGCGGTTTCTTGATTAGACGCCCCAAAATTTCTATAGCAATGGGATCATGTTCCTACCTACAAGATGGCAAAAAGTTATCGAACAAAATAGTATCTTCATATTGTTGTTTAACATCATTATGACTATGTTACATAATTTTGAAGAGTATAGTTGTGCCATATTTGTTACTTAAAAGGTGTTATTAGTTTAAGTAGCTTTTATATTTGTTATGTCAATAAAGGCATTCTGAATTATTTAAATTTTAATTTTCCATCATTTGACATAACGACGCCGTTTACGCCGCCATTTACGCCGCCGCCACTGAATTTTTAGCTCCACGCCGCCGCCGAAGATTTCGGCATCGGCGCACATGCCTACTCGGGCGTAAGTGAGTGTGTGCCGAATAAAGATGCTAAGGGAAGGCAAAGTAGCAGAAAAAAGGAGGGACCGCTTTCAGCGGTGAAGAAGGAAGAATTCCCGCCTTTACAAAAGGTGAAGAAACTGAGTGTGGTTGAGCCGAATAAACCTGGCTCATCTAACTGTTATGTTGGAGGGAACGAGTCGTCGGAGTCGGAGGAATCTGACGAGATCGATACAGAGTTCTATACAGAGAGCGAGGATGAAACCTCTGCTCCTAATGCGTAGTTGTCCGCTGATTTGACGTGTCATCTCCGGCAAAAGAGAGAGGCCCTTTTAGCAGAGGTTAACCTAATTGTGGACGGAATGGAGGCAGTCATCAATGGTCGCTATTATGGGAAGGGTAAGTTGACAGATGAGGTTTGTGAGTTTACGGGACAGGGTTTGGGAAGCATCAGGCATTACTACCTAAAAGCCGATAAACTGTGGAACAAGGTGGAAGAATACTTCTCAAAGTCGGGCAAAGCGCTTGACGGGATGAGTTCGGACATACGGAGGCTCGAGAGGGAGGTCAAAGGTGAGAATATGAGGCTAAGGACAGGAATCTCTAAATCAAAAGTGGACGAGATTCTTGGCAAAAAAGTGAGGGATGCTGGCTGTGGTACAAAGACGAAAGACATGAGGGATGTGGCATGCGGTGCGCGGGCGAGACGTGGTGTGAGAGAGCTCCGCACCCAAACGGAGACTTCTGCGTCTTCGATTACAAAAGAGGCAACGACCATGGTCGAGGTGTGTGTGAGGGAATTTGGCTGCCAAATGGAGACTTCTGTGTCTCCGTGTATGAATGATGCGCTGGATGAACTGGCGATGAGGAATGGGTGCACTCAGGTCGAGATCTCTGTGCCCCTGAAGAGTTTCTCGGACGTGGGTTTTTTAGCATGTGCTACATGCTGGTCATTGTGATGTGAAGCAAACTTGACGCAAACTTGGAGGGACAGGTTGGGGAGCACTTCCTGCTCCGCAGATTACTGATGCTGCCCAGGGTTCCAACTGGACCCAAATAGTGAAGGATGGGGACAGGAAGGAAAAGAGGAAATGAAAAAGGAGGAAGGTGAAGAAGGATAAAGAGGATGAGGACAGGAGAGAGGTGATGAAGGAGGCGCCCACACCAGCTGTACAGAAGCCGCCCCCATCACACAGAAAGAAGGGCAGAAAGAAAGCGAGGGACTTCGAGACCACGGCCATAATGATCTCAATCCCCCCTGAGGAGGAAAGAAAGGGGGACACGTATGAGAGCGTGATGAACCGGGCCAAGAAGGAGATCAGACTTCAGGAACTGGGAATCCCTGGAGTAAGAATGGGGATGACCGCCACCGGGGCCCGTTTACTCAAGATACCGGGGGCTAAAAGCGGGGAGCAGGCAGATAAGCTCGCCCTCAAATTGAAGGAGCTGTTCGGCAGCGGACTGGATGTGACAAGGCCCGTTAAACGCATAGACTTGCGGATAACGGACCTAGATGAGGGGATCAATCGGGAGCAGGTACGAGTGGCGATTTCAACTAAGAGGCAATGTCCCTTGGATCGAGTTGCTGTCGGTCCTCTAATCAAGGGCATCAGAAGAGGTCAAGTGGCACATGTTCGTGTCCCGGTGGCGGCGGCCAATGTGCTGCTTAGTGAGGGCTTGGTTGTGGGATGGATGGTCGCCAGAGTTTGTCGACTGGACCCCTTGCCCATGCGTTGCTTCAAGTGCATGGGTACGGGGCATGTGCGGAGGTCGTGTCCTTCCAACATAGACATGTCCAACATATGTTTCAGATGTGGTCTGGAAGTGTCCTTCCAGACTCTCCAGACTCACCGCACGGGACACCGTTGTCGCGCGGTGCCGGGTGCGCCTGTGTCACAGTTAGTAAGAGGAGTCTGAGGAGTCGACCTGCGTTTCGCAGGTAAGGGGATTTGCTCTGTGGCCCCGGTCTGGATGCCCAGCTCTATATTTATATAGAGAGCTATATTTATTTATTCTTAGATACGTTGCACCAGCTTACTGTTATTTAACCTATCGCCATGCAAGCTATTTACAAAAATAATCAATAAAAATATTTTGTCCAGAAGTACGTGCAGAAGGCTGACTAAAAACTTGTCAATTTTGCGCAACTTTTGTTTACTTTCTTTTCTTTCTTGGCGTTGTTTACGTTTAAATGCACCACTGGGTTCCTTTTTTGTGTCCATAATAATAGTTTTCTAATTTATTTATGCAATATTTATGTAAGATTGTACTCAAGTAGGTACTCACTGTTCACTGACAACGTTACAAGTAAAATGAAAGCGAAACGTAATGATACGATACAAGACGTCGTTGGGGAATCCCCGGCAAACATTTTATCGCCGCTAGTGTTACCACATTTGACGGTTTAAAAAATGACAAAAAAAAACATCACATAATTAATGGACGGCCCCCTACCGCATGAGACTTGTATTTTTCACGGTATTTTGAGTTAAATAGTGAGTAGCCGAAATCTTTAGATTTCTTTACGTAACTATCTATACGTACTGTAATCAAATAAAATTGAACTTTTGTATAGACCAGTACAAAATTTTATTGACATACACTTACTTACTCCTGACACATTAACTTTTTAACCATTCTCGAAAAAAAATCTTCATTCGAAGTTCACAATCGCGAATCACAAAAATGCATATCGATAAATAATAATATGCAGATATTGATATCTGACAAATTGATGAAAACATTAATAACACTGACAACCCACACAAATAATTTAGGGGAATTCCCATTTTATAACTTTAGAATTTCTCACAACTGAGTTGCTTGTTACCTGACATATTTATTTTGAAAATAGGAGAAATTTTCAAAAGTTGAGTTCGATTGACATTTTCTGGTAAAGATTCGAGGGCCCCCTGAGCTTGAGGGCCCCGGGGCACTGCCCCGCCTAGCCCCTTGGTAGCTACGCCACTGATAATTACCAAAATCAAATACCAAATGAACCTCAGTCTATGGCCCTTATAGATACTGATCCTGAAGAGATTAACTCTATCATTATGAATTTGAAAACAAATAGTGCCCCGGGGTGGGATAAAATCTCTACAAAATACCTAAAACATATAAAAAATGAAAATATTCCTATAATAACACACCTTGTTAACTGCTGTTTCAATACCGGTATCTTCCCTACTTTACTAAAACGATTCATAATAACCCCTATATACAAGGGCGGCGAGAAAAGTGATATTAAATTACAGGCCTATATCTATATTACCTGCATTATCTAAAATTATTGAAAAAGTACTAAATACTAGATTGGTAAACTACCTAACTGCTTATAATTTACTATCACCATTTCAATTTGGCTTTAGAAAAGGTGTATCAACTGAAGACGCAGTGTCATCTGTAAGTTCACTTATATCTGAACAGTTGGACGTAGGTAACAAATGCTTAGCCATCTTTTTAGACCTAAAAAAAGCATTTGATGCCGTTTCTATCCCTATCCTTGTGCATAAATTAGAGAAAATTGGAACAAGAGGCATTCAATTGGATATATTTAAAGATTACCTATCAAACAGAAAACAAAAAGTAAGACTAGAACAGTGCACTAGTGACTATGTGTCTGTTTCTAACGGCGTACCCCAAGGTAGTATTTTAGGGCCTACCTTTTTCCTTATCTACATTAATGATCTGTGTAATATGAATATTATGAATGCCAAAATTTTCTCCTACGCTGATGATACAGCTGTAATCTTCACTGGAACATCCTGGAACATGACTAAAACCTATGCTGAATGTGGAATTACACAAATAGCAAATTGGTTAAAATATAACCTCCTGACGTTGAACACTAACAAAACAAATTATATTTGTTTCAGTATATACAATCACCTTCAACCGAAAGATTTTAATATAAAAATACACATATGTAATGATATGAATAGTGAAAAATGTGATTGTCCGTACATCAAAAAGGTTAACCAAACAAAATACTTAGGCATTATGATTGATCAGAGATTATCTTGGTACCCTCAAATAGAGCAAATATCTTCTAGAATCAGGAAATTTGTTTGGATGTTTAAGTCTCTCAGATATATAGTACTAAAGAATGACTCAGAAGACAAAAACTTTTCAAACAACCTTTTAAACAAAATATACATTGCATTAGTACAATCGATCATAACATACTGCTTACCTGTATGGGGTGGTACATATAAAACACGCTTCCTCGAGGTTGAAAGAGCCCAAAGATCATTGCTAAAGATCGTGTATTTCAAGAGCCGGCGTTTTTCTACTGAAAGCCTTTATCGAATAACTAACCTACTATCAATTCGGAAATTATATATTGTTAATCTCATACTAAAGCGACATAAAACTCTAACTTATGACCCTAAATTAGCAATTAAAAGAAGAAAAACTACAGTCTTGCAAATCCCTAAAACAAGAACAGCTTTTGCTAGATTCCAATACAACAGTCAATCAGTTTATCTTTATAATAAAATAAATAAAGAATTACAAATATACTCAATAACTTATAATGAATGTAAACATACATTAAATAAATGGATAAAGATTCTAAACTATAACGATACTGAATTACTCTTGCAATCAAATAGGTAATCACACACACACACACACACACACGCACGCGCACGCGCACGCGCACGCGCACGCGCACACGCACACGCACACGCACACGCACACGCACACACACACACACACACACACACACACACACACACACACACACCTACCTCTTTAATGTTTAATTAGATATAATTAAGACAAATCTATCAAGTAAATCAAATTATGTCAATAAAAAACCGCAAACAATACATTTCTGAAAAAACCATGTTATCGAAAAGCGGAGTCTCCTGGTACAGGCATTGTCATGCTTAAAAGGGGACTCCAGTAATTAGTAATAAGTATTATCAGATAAGGTAAATAAAGATTTTTATTTATTTATTATATTTATTATATCTATGTGCAATCATTACGTAAACATTCGACATTTCTGTATATGTCTTATTAATGGTGGGAGCCTTTAATGTCGATCATGGCACATCTTATTCATTATGCATATGTGTACATATATGACAATTAAACCAAACGTATCATGCAAGCAAGCGTATTAAAATTGTCTTTAAATTGTAAAATGTACTTTAATTTCCTAAAAGTTACGTTACAGTGATTAGATTCTTTTCATTTTTGTAACTGCCACACTTTAAGTCCTCAAATTAGTTTTAGCCTTTTCTAAGATCTCTTTCTTTATCTTCGGATAATCTGGATGAACTTTCAATATATGCCTGGAAACGACTATGCACTCGGGATATTTCTTCAGCTTTAAGTAGGAATGTGCGAGCTTGTATCCTACTGCGAGATCAGTCTTGCCACCATACTGCCAAGCGTTATCGTAATTAGAGGCGGCACTCTTGTAATTCTGCTCTTTTTCAGACAAATAACCTAGTAAAATAAATACAAGTACTTAAACAGTGACAAATAATACACCAAAAAAATATTTAAGCCGTGTTTGGCATCTAATAAATTCAGAATCAAAGGAGTATAGGAAAATTATCACAAGATCATTAATACATGAGGAATACCAAAATGTATTATTATCTTGCTAGAGTTCCTCCGTGATTCGGAAGGTATGTTAAGCCGTTGGTCCCATACCTACCAATCAATTCATTCTGAATTCAGTAGTTCATTGTCTCTATTTGATTCCATCTATACAAAGTGGGACATTAATAAAACGATGAAGAAAACTACATTATACTTAAATTACTTCACAGAAATCTGAGCATACAAATGTTGGATTAATAAGAATATACTTTATACTAATTAAGATTGTATTTTCCATGTGATTGGTAACAAGGCATTGTCATAGCAACACACTTGTATAAATTATGTCATAGATTATACTACATTTCTCCCCCCAGTCGTTGTCTCTGTAAGCGTTCTGAGCTTCTGGCGGAGCAGACGGTTCCGCAGACGGGATGGGAGCTGCTGCAGGATCGTTACTGATGGTAGCTGGCAAGTAGCGGCTACACGTTGGGTTATAGTTATTATGGGGGGCCGTCTATTAAATACTGTTTTTATGTCACACTTCATCAATACCTCTCCCACCCCCACACGTGTCGTAATTTATTGGATCTGATGAATACGAAGGATCAAGAATGGTATTCTCTAAAATGATTTCGATATATTCGGATCGACACGACAGTGCCTCGACAATGTCGGACGAAATCAACTCTTGTTAACTTTCGAAACGATTGTCGTTTATCGGATGTATAGACAAATGTTCGTTAGTTCTTTAAAGGCAAGAACCAAAAGATGGAGTAAGTTGTGATCATAGATTTATCAAAAGTGGCCAAAGATAACAATTTTAGTACAAAATTATACGGTAAAAAGGAGAATAATTTCCTCTTTGACATAGAGCAAATTATATCTCATTGGCATGGACTTAGTACTTATAACAGGATTTATAAATCCGAAAAATTGAAATTAGAAAATTGACCTTGTCACTACCAATTAAGGTATATTTTTAATTGCTCTTTATATAGAAGCTAATCCGAGCCGAGAAAGATAGTCATAATGTTGCCATTGTAAAAAAATATCGTTCATTAAAAGTTTAAACTAAAATAATGTTAGTTGGTAAATGTAACTATTTAATTATTACAAAAAGATAGTACTAATCACAAACAAGGCTATTTGTTCACTTATTTTCTACCTGTATCCCTTTGAAGTGTCAAGGTGGTGGCTAGTAATTGGTATTTTTATTTCAGTAGTTTTTTATACATTCTAATAGTTAAAATGGTGAAAATTGTTGCGTTTATGTTTGTCCAAGTGAATGTTGTACTGGTAACTCTAACAACTATGTTTACCATGAAGTATTTTAATATGTGGATGATGATGTATGTGGTCATAGCAAAGTATTAAAACAGATTTTCAAAAAATTAAGAAATGCGACAAAAAAATCTCAACTGGGCAGATACATGAAACAGAAAATTCAGTTCTATGCAATCGTTACTGTGGAAGAGTTTAAAAATATTACAACAAACAAAATTTAATTTAATTCGTTTCGTTTAATTTTATTTCGCAGTAAAATTGGACCTAGAAACTTTATAAAATAATTTTTAGTAATGTAATGCTTATTTTTTTGTACTGCATTGAATTAATTAATAAATGAATAATCGTTTAATCGGATAGGGGTTTTGAGATAAGGCGGGGTAGTACGGGGTGAAGCGGATTTTTGCTGTTTTTTCTTCTCTTGTGCTTAGTAACATGTAAAAAAATAATGCATTCCCGGCATTCTCATTAGGCTCATGTGGCGGTCTCAATGCGGATTGGTTGTAGTACAGGCATTTTTAATGGATAAAACCAATCTACCCAATTCGTATTTGGTAATATTTGTATACCCGTGATTGCGCAAAAGTTAATCGAGCCTATCAAGCCCTCATACATACGAAGCGATATCGCAGAATATAAGTACATACATGCATTTCTGCGTAGAGGAGATTTGTGACCGATATCTTGGAATTCTCCATACATAAGGACGTGCGATTCGCGCGACAATTTCATCGATATCGAATTCCATGAAAAGCTTATAAAAAGTTTATCAAGATTATTGTGTTTAATAATCATCGTTGTCATTTGGCAATTGAGAGTAGGTTACGATGTCTTATGTCAAAAGTCATATTGTACGATTGTTTGATCGAAAACGACGTGCACCGTATACGACACGACGAATCCACCGATATATCGAAAATCGGCGTAGAGAGTCCCATTCCGGGATTCCTGACATGGTACAACTACTCACCCAAGTATTGGTAAGCTGCAGCACAAGAGTTGTTATGGCTGAGGATTTTTGTTAGTAGTTCTTTAGCTGCTTCCAGTCTGCCTGAGTTTACTTGATTTTCAGCGATCTCCAACCAGCACCTATGGATGATAACTATTTTTTTTATTATCTGTCCGTCAGGTAGACAACTGAAGAATATTTAACACGTATTTTTATTTTTCGCGTAATCAATTAATTACGGCGATACATTGAGTTGAAATGTCGCATGACGTCACGCTTTTGTACATTTTCTAAAAGACTGACGCAGTGAGCACCTACTCCTCATCTTTATTTCTTGTTCAAATTGAAGCAAAAAATGGACTTAATCCAATATCTTTTTTTTTTACCCAGTCGTTATCCCTATTAAGGATATTAAATTCACTTAACCAGTGTATAATAAACACTAAAATTATATTTAGAATAAGAACAATAATAATTTATGAGATTTTATATAAAAATATATAAAGAGAAAAATTACCGTTCTAAGCCATCAGCGTTTTCTGGTGACCACGGTATTGATGAAATGGTTCGCTTCAAAATATTTTTCGCGCGGGTAGGCTGTTTGATGATGTTATACCTGTAATATTTCATCAAAATGTTAATATTACAATTAATTAATTCACAAAATACCAGGAAATTCATAAGGAGTTATTAATCCCTTCGGTAGCATTTTTAATGAAAAATGCTTAGAAAGGAAGAGATTCGGAGGAACAGCGCTCCCGCGTCATCGTGTACCATCAAGATACATCTGCATCGCCGTATCCTTTTTTTGTCATACAGAACCGCCATTTGCTAGAGTGAGAAAGAAAGCGGATGTGTAATAGGGGTCGCGGAATCATCGAGGCGATAGACAACATGCTAATTTTCTCGAGCTAGCAAATGGTGGTTAAATATATATACAAACATATTTCTTAGGATTTAAGTTACGGAGCATTTTCATTGTTAATGTTCGCCGACTGTATCCAGTTGTTTAAGCGATTCTACGTGTTACAGTTCAGAATATGAAGTCTTAAATGATTTGGCAGTGAAACTATGAGACGCTACGATTGACTTTAACTGATATGTATTGTTAATGTATTAATAGTATAATATTATGAACGTAAAAGTACTAACGCATTAGCAATGGCAAGTATCAAGTATGGATCATCCTGGTATGCTTCTTCTGTAGCTAGCGGCAGTAACTCTTGCAATACACGTTCCGCTTGCTGTTTCTGCTTGGTAGCGAGTTGTAACAATGACTGTAGAGGCTTCTTTTCAACTGGCAATACTTCTACTAGCAACTTTTCCGCTGTCCTCAGTGCCAGTAACCGTGTGTCACTGCAATTTATTTGTTTATTTATTAATAAATAGCTACAAAAATGTACTATTTCTAGGGTTCTGAGGCCAAAGGGTAAAACGGGAACTACTATTACTAAGACTTCACTGTCTTTCTGTCACCAGGCTGTGTCTCATGAAAGAAAGTTATACAGTTGAAATTTTCACAGATAATGCTATTGCCCCTATAATAAAACATACTAAAGATTAGAATAAAATAAATATTTGTATGGAAGCCCCATACAACAAACGTGTTTTTTTTTGCTCGTTTTAGGTACGGAACCCTTCGTGCGCGAGTCCGAGTCGCACTCAGCCTGTTTATTTTAAAAGAACATTTTTTTAATATAAAGTGATAAAATCTTTATAAACGAATTTCGATAAAGAATTAAGAATGCATTTTTATCACGACAATAAAACCGGTATCGGTAGAACGACAGTCAGTGAACGTAAAATTAACCGTTATGATATAGGAGAAATGCGGTATAACATAGAAAAAAATCTTACCACTATCTTGTCCTTTTTTAATTAATTTAGTGGACAAATAACAATTTAACTTACGATTCGTCACTAGCGTTAGCGAAAGTTTCAGCTAAACTATCCGGCGCATGTTGCGATAAACAAAGAAGGACTATTTTCTTTGCGGCACTATGTCCAAATTGCGTAGAACGACGGGCGTGATTCAACTGCCTCAGTGCCGCGTTAGCTTTCCCACTGTAGAGGGAGCTTAGCCCCAAACAATAATAGTAACCTACGAAGGTCACAATAAAATTGTTAGTGAATCATTCAGCGTCATGTCACAAATAATCTAAAAAGAAAAACGACATTATATAATACAGAAGAGCAGTTTTGCTCTACACTGTCAGCTGTTTTGTGTAATAAAGAAAACGTTAACCGCTACAAAACTAAAGTATTGATAGTATTGATGAAAGAAGCAAAGAAATGTGGTGTTTCAAACAGACTTCAAAATCGAAAAGTTTATCAACTGTAAAGACCGCTACATTACCGATATTAAGTTTTGAAATTGATAATGAAAACAGTTTTCAGATTTCGATATCAAGGAATGGTTGTTGACTATTTTTCGATATATCAAAACTGGTAATGAGGATATTATATTCGCTTCATCTCTTTCAAACCTTTGCTGCATTAGAAAGAGAGGGGGCGAATATCGTGTCTTAGCTAGCACTCTAATAGATTTTACTGCTCTGTCGTTAAAGGTTATTTTGCCAGATTTTAGCGTTCGTAATTGGATAATGGATATGATATTCGCTTCATATCTTTTTACTCAACGACATTTAAAAGAGGTAAATGTATCTATCGCATTACGCTAATGACCAGCGCTTGGCGCCGCACAATGCATGTCCTAACTTTAAGTGCTGCTTAATGTCGTTAGGAAGCTTAATAGGTCGAAGCTTAATGTCGTTAGGTTTAAGTTTTGTGAAAACGGGCATAAGTACCTGAATCTTCTTGATCGACCAACGCCTGTTTAGCCGCTTCTAACGGTTGCTCCGTTTCAGTCAGTTTGCCACGTCGCCATTGCACTTCTATTAATTGCGCCAGCGCCTCCCAGCTCGTTGGTTTCACAGACAAAATCTGAGTCAAATGCCTCTGAGCTGTTTCAAAGTCCACCTATCCAACAACACATGTTTTAATCAAATATATTTTGAAATAATTCAACTTTAGTAAGTTATAAAAATTGAACAAGTGAAGTATGACGTTCAAGAACAGTCAACTTTAGAAAAATTAAAATATAATAAACTAGCTTTCCGCCAGCGGCTTCGCCCGCGTGGTCCTTAAGGAACTGTTTATTTAGATATTGATTCATATCATGACAATGACAAATTGAATAGTAAACAACGGTTACTATAGTTTCGTTTTAATTCCCCATATACACTTCCACTCCCATTTTGATTCTTTCATTTGTTGTTTTTTTTTTCGGGATAAAATATAACCTGTTTTCACTACGTATAAAATCTGTACAGTAGTTTTGGAGCCTATTCGACACAAACATACAATGAAATCTTTCCTTGAAATTATAATATTAGTATACAAAATGTAGTATATAACTGGATTTTTTTATCGCCGAGGTTGAATTTGCTTCTCACCTTACGAAAAGCTAAATCAGCCATCATAACCGCCGCCGATTCATTGTTAGGGTCAGCATTCAGTAGCACTGCACAGGTTTGCTCACATTTCTCAGAATAATTTATCTGAAAATAATTCAAATAATAATACCACGAAAGTATACAAAGACAGGAAAATAATTTGAAAGCATCTACTTACATGTGCATACAATTTAGCCAACGCTAGCAATGTATCAGGATCCCTTGGCGAATGAATCAATGCTTCAGAATATAAATTTGCCGCGACAGCTGGTTCTTTAACAGATTTCACTTTTGCCAAAGCACATAGAACTGTAGATAATTTGTTCTTTTCTTCTTGAAAGTCTCCTCTTGAATCTATTTCTATTCTTTTGACTATCGCTGTCTGTATGTCTCTGGCTTCAGCTAAGATTAGATGAGTGTTACCAGCAGTAGGGTTTTTCATTTCTCTGCATTTTGCTTGTATAAGGAGATAACGCACCCGTCTTTTGAGTGAATTTATATCCTTTTCTTTGTTGTATAACTGATTTAATTCATAGCTTATTGTAGAGTCAACTTTATCGTACTGCTTTAACTGTAGAATAATAATTTATCAATATCGATAAAACTACTTAGGATTATGTCTGAATATATCATCATTTCGGTTCGGAAGATAGTCATGCCCAATATCTTAAAAACAATTTTTTTAAGCATTTTTCATTAAGAAAAATTTTGAGTATAGCATTGTGAATTTAAAATTGATCAAATTAAATAATTTGGGCATATTTTTATATGTCGCCGAGAGCTTGCAAATAGAAGTTGCAAAATAATATTTTTTAAACTTAATTACCAAAACTTTAAACTTCAATGTATCGTACTGTTCAAGCTGACAGATTTACATACACACCAGTGATTTTCCAAAGATTTCTTTTTTGGGCATGGGACCCTAAAAATATTGAATCACATACCAAAACTTTACTCTTCAGTCTGGTCACTAGTGAAAATAACACGAATATTCATACGGTTGATTGTTGTAGAGTTTAAACTGACAAACAAAAGATAATTAGTATTTACATAACTCACTTTAATGAGCAGTTCAAGATATTCAAACATAACATCATCATCTTTCAACTCTTTAATAGCATTTTCATAATGTTGAGTTGCCTTATCATATTCATGCATTTTAACTAGAGAGTTGCCAAGCTTCTTGATCAATTGTATATCTTTAGGGTTGCCCTTTAAAGCTGTTTCATATGATTCTGCTGCTTGTGCTGGTTCTGTAAAAAATAAAGAGAACAACATATTTTTTTTTTTCTTAATTTGTGTTCTGAAAATATATGTATAACTGGCGCTGTGTTAATGATCCTCTTTTTATACTTTAATGTATAAAAGTGTATAAGCTCTTTTTTATTTACTTTTTGGATTATTCTTTTTTTGTGCATTTCCTAAATTAAAGAGTATATATAACACGTGACATCGCGTAATTGACTACAGAATTGTTAATTTGCCTTTTCTATACTATGTAGAAAATTAGCAATAGATTTAGTAAATAATTTTACGGTTGTTTAATAAAAATATGAACATTTAACAAACCATAAATAGACATAAAAGCGTCACCCATCATGGTGTGTGCATCAGACATTGGATGACTGTTGACTATCTCTTTGAAGCATGTTGTAAACATAGCACGATTATTTTTCTCTTTAAGATATATATGCGCCATTTTGCTGTGCGCTTGAAAAAAGTATGGCTGGCCAGGTTTTATTTCATTAAGAACATCAATAGCATTGTCTACATCGCCTTTCTTTAGAGCTAAATCAGCTTTAGCAATTGCTAGTCGGCTTTCCTCTGAAGTGAATGAGAATTCTTGTATCGCTTCCTAAAAACAGAATATTAGACAGTAAAGCAGCATAACCACACCTTGAATATACTTATATTCAATTCAATATTCAATGTACTTATAAGATCATTATTACCTGCATTACTTTCCCTGCTTCAGCAAACTGCCCCAAAGCAGTTTGTAGTTCTATTATTTGCAAATATAATGTGGCTTTATCAATGATATTTAAATCTGAATCATAATAACGACTCAAATTGCTTCCAGTTTTACTTGTCGCTATATGAAGGCTGGTAATAAAACTGGAGAGAGCTTCCTTTGTTTGATTTACACTTTTGAGAATAACTCCATTGAGGAAATGATACATAGAACTATCTCTAATTTTAAAATTATAACTTAAACACATCTCTAAGCACTGTGCAGCTTTAGTGAATGATTGCTGTTGGACACAAATTTGAGCCAGCAATATTTGTGAGCCTGCATGGGTACCATCAATTTCGATGATTTGCTGAGCTAACTTTTGTGCATCAACAGCAAAGCCAAATAAGAATTTTAATTTAGCTAATTCAAATAAAGCAGAAATTAAACCTGGACAGGCCTCACATATAGTGTTAAGTATTTTAAAACAATTTGTTACTGCAGAATTATTACCCTCTTGAGAATACAGTATGTATCCAACGATGACAAAAGGCTTCTTTTGTAAATGTTTTCTGTACTCTTTATAAACTTCTAAAAGAAAATCTGGATCTAACTCTTTGAGATAAGTCAAACTGTAAGGATAGATGTTGGCATAAGTCAATCTTGACTCAAATGCTGTATTAAGAAGTGAAATAGCATGAGATGAATTTTTTGTATTAAGCTGTGCAGACAGTAGATATAGAATAGGTAACTTCTTATTTCCTTGCATTTCAAATAGTAACTCAACCTGTTGTGCTATTTGATCAGTTGGACCATTTTCAAACATTTGACAAAGAGTCAGTCCACACAAGGCAGTGATCGAGTTGCTGTCAATCTTACTTGCTGCTTTAAAAAAGTTTAAGGAATCCTTATATTTTCCTTGTAAAATACACTGATACCCAACCTCAGATAAATATTCCACATTGTTAGAATACATTTCAGATGCATATTGTGCAAATCTATAAACTTGTGATAACACTGCACTAGATCTCCCACAAATTTTGGAAAATACTTGTGTAATGTTGTAGAACTGATAACCATTATGTGTTTCCTCATTTTCAAGAATCGAAAAGAGTTTATTAAGTTGATCTGCTGCTTCGATGTAATCAGAATTCTTGCAGAGGGTAAGAAATATTTTAATTTTATATGCCTCTATATTATCAGAATCTAAAACAGATATTCTTTCCATTGTATCATACACAGCTTCCCATTTTTGCATGGCAAATTCATTATTCATTTTGTCAACAAGAGGAACAACTTGCCCTGGATTATTTACTATCAATTTATCAAGAGCTAAGTTGGATGCTTCATAATCTTTAGCAAAATATTTAAATCTTGCTAAACCAAGTGAAGCTTCAACATTTCTGTCACTTTTACTTAAAGCCAATTCTAAGCAATCCAAAATGGACATTTGTATATTACCTAAATTCATATACATATCATTCCAGCCCTTCAAAATCAAAGCTTCTAAATTGTTTGAATCTTTACGCAAAGCTTTATTAATATATTCAGAAGACCTTTCATATTTGTCAGCTAAAGATAGAAATAGTCCACTGTAGTAGAATGACATGACTGTTGCTTGTTTTTTTTCTTCTTTTAATTTAGATTCGAGGTTGTATAACACATCTCTGTCCAAGACATTCATAGATTTATACCCATATATCAATGCCATAACTACTGCTAACTGTATATCCTTATCAGATTGCAGTGGGGTAAGTTCATTGATACCCTTTTGTACTTGACCTTGTAGTATACTAGCCAAACCATTGTAGAAGTCAAATTCTGCTGTATCATGAAAATGAGAAGATGCTTGCGAAGCAAGTGTTTTAGCTTTGTTATAATATTTTTCTCTTAAATAATAATGCACATTAAATCTAAACCACAATAAATCCATTTTAATTATTCTTCCAAATCTAGTTTCACATTGACAGCTTTGTATTTATTTAGATTATCTTCATAGTACTTGGCCAGAAAATGGCATTTACATGTCACATCCAATTTATTATCAAGTGCATAGTTAAATGCATACTGAAAAAACAGACATACAAAAAAAATATACTCTTTCTCTATTAAGATCTAAGTTGAGCTATTGTAAATACACTATACACTTCTAACAAAGCTATAATAGTAAAAAATTAACTTACTGACCTGTGCTAATAATTTCCCAACACCTTTGCCTTGAAATTCCTGAGGGACATCAGTTCTAATAAATGTTATGTGCTGTCCACTTTTATCATAACTTAACAATGCATCCACTGAAATTCAAACAAATTGTGCATGAAACTGATTTGAAAAAAACTTATTTTTAATTTTTAAGTATAGTATTATAAAGTACTTTATACAGGGAATAATTCAGGCCCTTTTTAAATTTAAACTTAAATCATTATTTAAATCGTTAAATCATTATTTCTTCTTAGCTTTTCTAATAAAACTTACCTCCACGGAGTGATATTGTAAACTGTTGCTTAGCAACATTGTTGACAACTTTGAGGGCTTCTGTAGAGAAAGCCCTAGCTGCTGCTCGTGTCAACATTTGATACATAAAAACACTCGATGAACTCAAAAAATAAGCAGTTTAGTAAAATTTCGGCTTCAGTTTGTAAATCTGATCTTTTTGTAACGTAAACATACCTACTTTGATAAAAATAATCACAACACGAGATGGTTACGGTCACATGTCAATATGACGTACATAGCAGCATTGTGCAAAAGTCGATAATTTATTTATCGATAGTCTTGTGATGTGCTGTGGTTCACTTAAGACGGTCGCTGTTTTAAAAAGTGCTGAGAATGAAGTATGGTTTTATATTTGATCAGTTCTGATACTGATCTTTAATATTTTTTTTATTTACACATCTTTTATTTTATTCGTCTTAAAAGCAGCCTTGGTAATTATTGTGAACGAGCACAAATATTTTATATAAGGCATTTTATTTTTGTGATTACCTTTTATCTCGAAAAAGGTCAATAATAATGATAAATAACCCGGTTTGACAGGTGGGCAATACCATCTATTCTTCTATAAACCATCCCTTATTGTTATTTGGTACAAATAATCATACATTGAAAAAAGTTTTTTTTTTTAAATAATGTTGAAATCAATACTTTTTAATGACAAATTTTCTAAACGAATCTTTTGTTACCAGGGTGGACGTCATTGCAATAAAATTTTACTTAGTTCCAAACAATACGTAAAATATTATTATAATAACGTCCACCCAAGTAACAAAAGAATCATAAACTGCAAGAAGACTATTACTTAGTGGTTTTAATACATTTCCCTACTCAAGTAAAGTAGTAGCACTTTTTTGACGAATGTTGAACATACGATGAAACTGATCATCTTTTCAGTCGTAAGACGGCTCTGCTGAGCATAGGCCTCCCCCATAGATTTCTACGGTCCTGCGTTGCCCGCATCCAGCGGCATCTCGCAACCTTTATAATATCGTCGGTCCACCTGGTGGGAGGCCTACATCATCCGCTAAGTGGTCGCCATTTGAAAATAAATAAATAAATATAATTTCTATTAATATGATATATTCAAATATATGATTCTATTAGTATGATATGTATGTAAATTCTATAAGTATGTAAAAGTATCTACTAATAATTTACTTTGTGAGCTGCGAAACAATAATGGTATATCACTTGTTTGAAATTCAGCCTGTAAAATAAATATGGTTGTCTAAAAACTGTACGCGACAATATAAATTCAAGGCGATTGATCTCCGTCTTATTTAGCAACAGCTTGCAACGTAAGCGTCAAAATAAAATTAATCCCAACTGATTACCGCTTTTCTTAATTCTAATCATAACCTTAATCCTCTACAATCTGGCTTCCGCAAGGGCCATAGTTCATCTACTGCGTTGGTTAAGATTACCGTGACATTCGATGGGGTATGGAGAATAAACAGCTGACTCTTTTAACGTTATTAGATTCCAGTAACGCCTTCAACTCTGTGTTATAATTTTTCTTAATCTATCTCCAGCCGCAATTGATTGGTTTCGAAGTTACCTGCTAGGACGCCGGCAACGCATCCGTATTGACGATGTGGTCTCTTCGGGTGTAATATCAATGTAGGCGTTCCTCCACTACTTTTTTCTATCTTTATAAATTCGATCACTCGGTCATTATCATGTTCTTATCACCTGTACGCTGACGATCTCCAGATTTATACCTTATATTATTATATATTCATCTGGCCTTTCAAGGGCAGTTTCAATTACAAATTCTGACTTATCACTAATCAATAACTGGAGTAAATCATATGGTCTTATTGTTAATCCACCTAATACTCTACAGAGTTTACTTCCTACTCCTTTTTTGTGCAAGCTGTGCGGCTTTGGAACTCACTCCCGGAATGTATTGAGAAAGCCCGTTGTACGCGTGGTACGCATGACATGGCTGTCAAGTGCTAAAAAGTATTTATAAAAAAATTAGAACCTTGCCCAAATCATAAAGACAAACCTGATTCTAAATATGTGGAGACTATACCTTCATATAACTCAATATCGCCAAAAATGTTACTTGGAACAATTTACCTTTCAGCCGTCGATTTATTTTTTATCGATAGGAACGTTTTTTCGATATACGTCGCACTATGACGACCCACTCGCTGTCGAAGAATTTGTATTTTATGTTTAGGTAATGAAAACTGATTCTTTCATTAAGTTAAAGCCATTGGCACTATACTTATTTTTTTTTTAAATAAGGTCTAATAATCACAGATATTATAATACCTACTATGTATTTATGTCATATCTGAAAAAGCTCGGTGGCGTAGTGGATAAGCGCCGCGGCCCGCGATCGTAGTCGTTAAGCAACTTTCGCAAGGGTCGGTCACGGGATGGGTGACCAAAAAAATTATTATCTCGAGCTACTCCGTGCTTCGGAAGGCACGTTAAGCCGTTGGTCCCGGCTGCATTTGCAGTCGTCAATACCCTCCAATCCGCATTGGGCCAGCGTGGAGGGTCATGGCCTATCCTCCTTAACCATCCATAAGGAAGGCCTGAGCCCCTGTAGTGGGGACGTAAAAGGGCTGGTGATGGTGGTGAAAAAAAAATTACTACATACTGTAGGTAATATGTCTAAAACTTACTTGATATCTCATCATTATCATCATCATTATCATCGAGTCATGGCTCAAGCCCTGCTTACCTTCTTCCTTATATACTCTGCCTGGTTTCCAAATAATACGTAATGATCGTACCGGATGTGGCGGAGGTGGAGTTGCTATTTATTTGCGTACTAATATTCCTTACAAAGTAATTAGTGTGTCCACTCAGCCACCACCAAATAATGCTGGCGAGCACCTCTTTATTGAGGTAACCCTGTCACATTGCAGAGTCTTGCTCGGTGTCTATTACAGTCCATCAGTTCGAGTTAATTACTTCTCCTCTTTTGAAAAGCTCTTAGACGAATTTATTCCGTCTTACGACCATTCTATTATTATGGGTGACTTCAACACTTGCCTTCTCAAAAATGATTTTCGAGCTTCTTCCCTTCAGTCTGTTATCAGATCTAGCAATCTGCACATTCTCCCACTTGGAGTCACACATCGTTTTCCGCATTCGACCCCATCTCTTCTTGACTTACTTATAGTTTCTTCAATCCAACATGTTTCGAAACACGGTCAATGTTCGGCCGATGTTTACTCATACCATGATTTAATATTTCTATCCTATAAAATTAGGCCTCCGAAAATAAAGCCCAAGGTTATACTTCAGCGCAATTTTAGTGGTATGGATCAGGTCTCTTTTATGAACGATGCTCGTGAGACTGATTGGTCTCTTGTTACAAATTCCCACTCAGTCGATGAACAAATTACTACTTTCAATAACCTCGTTACCCAACTTTATGACAAACATGCACCTTTTCGCCCCATTAAACTCAAGCATCTCCCCGCTCCATGGCTAAATAATGATATAAAAGCGCTGATGCATAAAAAAGCCATAGCTAAAAGCAATTACAAACGTCGTCCGACTGACTTCAATAAGGAAAAGTACAACAAGGTTCGTAATCGCTGCAATATGGTGTGTAGGGACGCCTTACGTCGCCACATTCACAATTCCGTCGAAGAGGAAGATCCAACTAAAGTCTGGAAATTCCTCAGGTCTCTTGGGATTGGTAAAATACGTCAAGACTCCGTACCTAATCATATTAATATTGATTCACTAAATACTCATTTTTCTTCGTCATCTGATCTTTGTGACTCAGATAAAAACCGAACTGTTCAACAACTTTCTAGTCTACCAATACCTGACTATTCTTCTTTTAGATTTACTCAATTTACGGAGTGTGATGTTAAGAAGAGCATTTTATCCATTAGCTCTAATGCGGTCGGCGCTGATGGAATTAGCCGTAATATGTTGATACCTATACTCGATTTCATACTTCCTGTCCTTTCTCTTATTTTCAATAATTCCACTTCACAGTCTGTTTTTCCTTCTGCTTGGAAAGACGCTCAAATTATTCCTCTTCCTAAAAAACGCCTTCCGAAATCCTTTTCTGACTTTAGACCTATCTCCATTCTTCCATTCCTTTCCAAAGTCCTTGAGCGTCTTATCCATAACCAGTTAAATTCTTTTCTTACTCGTCATGATCTCTTGAATCCTTTTCAATCCGGTTTTCGTCCAGGCCATAGTACCACTACCACTTTAATTAAAATCACCGACGATATCCGGTTTGGAATGGAAAACGGTCTTCTAACTATACTAACACTGTTGGATTTTAGTAGTGCTTTTAATACTGTCAACTTTGACATCTTACTGGCTCTGCTACGCTCTATTAACATATCTCCACCCGTAACTGAGTGGTTTCATAGTTATCTGTATGGACGCCGGCAAAGAGTACGTATTGAGGAGAATTATTCCTCTTGGTGCGATATGACTGCTGGTGTTCCACAGGGTGGCGTTTTATCTCCTCTGCTTTTCGCGATTTTCATCAATTCTATTTCTCAGAAACTTACTTCTTCCTACCACCTTTACGCAGACGACCTTCAAATCTACTGTCAAGCTCCTCCTTCACAGCTCATCGAGGCAGTACACATCGCTAATACTGATTTAGATCATATAGTAGAATGGAGCAAGTCCTTTGGTCTTAAAGTTAATCCTGCCAAGACTAATGCAATGATAGTAGGTAGCTCTAGGTTGACCTCCAAATTGGACTGGCATCTGTTACCTAAGATTAACTTTGATGGGACTGACATCCCTTATAGCGTATCAGTAAAAAACTTAGGTATAATCTTTGATAGTAGTTTGAGCTGGGGACCTCAATTGCAATATGTAAGTCGTAAACTGTATGCTTCTGCTGCGTCACTGAGGAGGTTGCGTAACTTTTTGCCGACTGCCACTAAACTTGCTCTAGCACAATCTTTGTTGCTTCCAATTCTTGATTACGCCGATGTCTGTTATCTCGATCTTACGGAAGACCAGCTTAATAAACTTGAGCGGCTCCAAAACTTCTGTATTCGGTTTATATTTGGATTGCGCAAATATGATCATATATCTCAATTTCGTACTCAGCTCAAGTGGCTTCCAATTCGTCTTCGCCGGAATGCTCATATATTATCCCTCCTTTACAATATTTTGTTTAACCCCCTTTATCCGCGCTATTTGAAAGAACGCTTCAATCCGCTATACTGCTGTACTTCATTTTC